ACTCACACTAGTGCATATTTTTCTTTCACAGCCCAGGCTTTATCTTCCTCAGCAGAACTCCAGATTGGGGCACTTTTAAATTATAGCTCACAGCACAATTCATAATTTATGCACAAGTAGCATTCTTTTGGAAGCTCTTCCTCAATTTTTGTCCACACTCCTGAGAGCACAGGAGGAGTTAAGGTTCCCAAGTTGCTGAATACCCTCCCCGTGACTTCATGATACTGGCCTCCTTCCCTCCTGCAGAACCTGAACAGGCTTCAGTCCTGGACTCTGGGATACCAGAGAGAGAACGGCTTTAATGCTTTCCCTCTCATTTAAAAACCACATTAACATTTAAGACTGTGAAAAAAACAGGCCAAGCAAGGAAGGAAGGCGCAGGGGTGAGGAAGAATCGTCAACACACTCTCCAGAAGACCAGAGTTTCTGGTCGGTTCTATCGCTTTTGAGTCGTATTTGGGTAATGTCGTCATCAGGATTAGAGAGGTCATTTCTTGGATCTGGTTGGTGGCTATCCATGCAGCCCCATATGTGAAGGTCATTTATGTCTTTCATGACTTCTGAAGCTGTAAGACATGGCTGGGAGCATTCCTCTCTGCTCTCCCATTTCTCCCTTGGGTTTGTGTGTAGACTACCATGGAAAATGTATGGTTTGCTGGGTTTGGTGTATATCTGGATTGTCTTCCCTTTGTTTTGTTTCTTTGTTTTCTTTTCTAGGAAAAGGAAACAGTCCTTGGTACCCACATATTTATATAACATGTATTTGCTGAACATCTATAAACTCAAATAAAAAGTCTCATCCTCAGGGAGTTAGCATTCTGTTGAAGGAACCCAATATTGAACAAACAAAATAAGTAAATTATAGAGTATGTCAAAAACTATAAGTAACCAAGAAAAAAATACAGCAAGGTAAGAATAGGACTTAGCAGTGGATAGAAAGGGAGATTATGACTTTAAATAGGACAATTGCATAATGTCCATTAAAAAGGCAACATTCAAACAAAGGTTTTGGAGAAAAATTGCTCATGTTGGGGAAGAGCGAATAAGTAGTGGGACAGTAAATGCACAAGTGAAACCATGAGGTGAAAGGAAAGTTCTAGCAACAGTCAAGAGCCCAGCTCGCCCTGGACTGATTAAGTGAGGGGAAGAATAAATGGGAAATTAGGGGAGAAATGAGATCAGGAGGAGGAAAAGTGGATAACATCCAGTAGGACCTTCAGCCTCCTAAGAAGACTTTGGCTTTTCTTCTTAGGATGGTTGGGAACCACTGTTCAGGTCTGAGCAGAAGGATGCCACACACCAATCTGGGTCAACAAGGGTCATGCCAGTTAACCTTCCAAGAAGGCTAACTAAAGTAATGTGGATGGACTAGGACTTGGCCTAGCCCAGCGCACTGGTGGAGACAATAATTGGCTGATTCTGGATGTAGTATGAATGTCGAGTCAGCAGGCTTAGTGGATGGAGGTGTGGAGTGTGAGAGAGCGAGAAGGATCAGCCTACAACACTGAGCAGGAACGGCAGTGCTGGCCATAGGCAGCCAGAAGGGACGCTTCACATCCTGCGCCTGTCTCATAAAAACGCCCGCTATTTAGGGTTGTATCCACGCCTATATTTCAGCAGTGTCTCACATTAGTAAAAACTACTTACTGCACTAGTTCCAAAATATACTACGGCCATTTCAGAATTCAGTTAGCAAGCAGATTGTGTGCCGTGCTCTGAAGTTAAAGACTGCTGCTCTACTGTTAACTGGTGGTCAACTACTTCCGTTGGGAAACCTGATCTATCACAATTGTTGCTCAGAATGAACAAAGGGATGCCGGACTGTAAGGCAGTCACTCTTTGTAGCCAATACAATTGTTTAGAGCAATTCTTTCACACATCAAACCGTCTTAAATCCATTGGTATTTGTATTGACATTTCATTCATAACTGAGAAGCACTTTGTGCTAACCCTTCACAGATCCATATCTAAATATTGAATATAAACGTAGACATTTCCCACCTAGGAACATCACTCTTGTGGCTTAAAAATGAGATTCTGTGAGAATCCATATCATAGAAACTGGCATACTGTGCAACTCAGGGTCTTTTCCTTTGCAGTAAGTAGATTTCCCAGCAAACTCCTGGGCCGCAGCCTAGTATAGAGAGATGAATGCAAACTTCAGGCAGCCCTGTTGCAAGGGGGGTGCTGCTTGCCCAGAGAGACGGAGTGATTTGTTACCAGTGATACTGTTCAAACTTTTTAGGTGATAATGCTAGCAAAATGCAGGCCAATTTTATGTCTGGGTTCTCCACCATATTCTTTTCTATTGAATGAACCGAAGGCAGATGCCTCCCTCCTACTCCTCCCCGAGTTCCACTCTCGTCCTCTCAGGGCACCTTGGACATAATTCGGAATTTCTTAAGTCTTTGTTTCTCTATTCAATGATGACCTTCAAACCCACCATGCTGACTAGTCATAAGGACTCAAAACAAAATGAAGTATTGAATAAGCGCAGGGGATCATAGTATTGGTGAACCTTTGAGGTCTCCCTATAGCTTTAAGAGAACAGAGATGTATTCTTTATAGAGAACAACCTTCTCACACCCGCTGTGCTTTCCAGCTCCCAGAACTCTGTTTATGCTGATTTCTACACTGAGTGTCCCTTTTCCCTATTTCTGTTTTGGAATTGTTCATTCCAGTCAGGTGGCCCAGCTGCTCCCAGAACTATGAAGCGTTTCCTTACTCTCACAGATGGCATAATCCCCTTCCTTTCTCCCATCTAGGCACTAAACAGGACAGACCCTACTAAGCTTCCTAGATCAGATGAGATTGGGCAGATTCAGGGCAGTATACGTGTAGACTCTCCTTTCTTCCTTTAATGCGGCTATTCCTAGGCCCAGACCTAGTGGACGAAAACTCAACATTTTAACAAGATCCCAGAATTAGTGTGTGCTGTGAAGAGCAGCCCTGCTCAACAACTGTTTCTGGAACTTGGTTCCATATTGAACTATCAGAGGAGGTTTAAGGCTTTCCCTCCCAGAAAGTAGATTTACTGACAAACTCCTGGGCCATAGCAGAGTGGCCCATCTGTGCAGCTCCATCCGTGCAGCTCCACCTGTGCAGCTCATTCTGTGCAGCTCTATCTGTGCAGCTCCATATATGCAGCTCCATCTATGCAGCTCCACCCATGCAGCTCCATCTGTGCAGTTCCACCTGTGCAGCTCCATCTGTGCAGTTCCACCTGTGCAGTTCCACCTGTGCAGCTCCACCTGTGCAGCTCCACCTGTACAGCTCCACCTGTGCAGCTCCACCTGTGCAGCTCCATCTGTGCAGTTCCACCTGTGCAGTTCCACCTGTGCAGCTCCACCTGTGCAGCTCCACCTGTACAGCTCCACCTGTGCAGCTCCATCTATGAAGCTCCATCTGTGCAGTTCCACCTGTGCAGCTCCATCTGTGCAGTTTCACCTGTGCAGTTCCACCTGTACAACTCCACCTGTGCAGCTCCACCTGTACAGCTCCACCTGTGCAGCTCCACCTGTGCAGCTCCATCTCTGCAGCTCTATCTATGCAGCTCCACCCATGCAGCTCCACCTGTGTAGCTCTACCTGTGCAGCTCCATCTATGAAGCTCCATCTGTGCAGTTCCACCTGTGCAGCTCCATCTATGCAGCTCCATCTGTGTAGCTCCATCTGTACAGACTCTATCCCCAACAGACTCTGATTCGGGTGATCTGGGCATTGATAGTCTTTAAACTCCCAGTGATAGCAGTATGTAGCGAGGTGATACTAGTATGTAGCCCACTGCTCTGTAAACACCTCTCCACTTCCTTATGGGGCCTTCGGGCTCTCTCATGCTCTCTGATGCCATGGTTATTTGATTTCACATATGTTTTTCCACCTCTTTTAAACTATGTGTTTTAAGAGTGAGAATTATCTCTTTTTATTGATTATATTGAGCTCTACATTTTTCTCTTCTCCCCTCCCTGCCTCTTCTTTCCCACTTCAGCCCTCTCCCAAGGTCCCCCATGCTCCCAATTTACTCAGGAGATCTTGTCTTTTTCTACTTCCCATGTAGATTAGATCCATGTAAGACTCTCTTGGGGTCCTCTTTGTTGTCTAGGTTCTCTGGCATTGTGATTTGTAGACTGGTTTTCTTTGCTTTATGTCTAAAAGCCACTCATGAGTGTGTACATGTGATAATTGTCTTTCTGGGTCTGGATTACCTCACTCAAAATGATGTTTTCTAGCTCCATCCATTTGCCTCCAAATTTCAAGATGTCGTTATTTTTTTCTACTGTGTAGTACTCCATTGTGTTCATGTACCAGATTGTCCTTATCCATTCTTTGGTTGAAGGGCATTTAAGTTGTTTTCAGGTTCTGGCTATGACAAACAATGCTGCTATGAACATAGTTGAGCACATGTCCTTGTGGTACGATTGAGCATCCTTTGGATATATACCCAAAAGTGGTATTGCTGGGTCTTGAGGAAGATTGTTTCCTAATTTTCTGAGAAATCACCACACTGACATCCAAAGGGGCTGTAACAGTTTGCACTCCCACCAGCAATGCAGGTGCAAGAACTGACTTTTAATACAGTTTTATCACCCTTTTCCTTAAGAAGAGCCATGTTATAGGAATTTACTATTTATTAAAGGGTTGGTTTATTTGTAATCTTAAATTCTTCCCATGTTACCCTAAATATGGCTCTTGGCCAAATCTGAGGACTGCTGGGACACAGTCTCAAAACCGTGAGGTTGTTTGTCAGTCCTAAGACCGCATCTCTAGAAAATCAGAGGCAGATAACTGGAAAGGGTTTTCTAACTGAGAATGGACTCTCTGGGTACCAGTGCAGCCATCCCACTCCATCTATGCATCTTCCATAGATAGAAAATAGAAAGCCAATCGTGGAACCCCGACTCCAGAGGGCAATGTAAAATGATGCAGAATGTCCCCACACGCTTCAGGCGTCCGATTCAGAACCCCTGGCTGAAGGTTGATGATATCTTTCTCTCTCTCCAGGGTGCCATTTTGATATTTATGGGCTTCATTGTTCCCACTATGAAGGCATCTGTTATTGAAGTCTTGCTCGGTGAGTACTAGTCTGTGTGGATCTGGATGTTCTTTGAATCTGGCCAAGAAAGGTTTAAAGCCAAGACAGAACACATGAACAATAACAGAAGTTTAAGGGGGGGAATGCTAAGTATAGATCAAATTCAAGAGGCCTCTGTGTGTGTGTTCATCTAAAGCAAACTTTTATATCATATATATGTGTTTACATGCTACATTTACTATATACACATATCTCTATGTTTTCTGTAAACAAATACATGTTTGTTTTTAAGATCCCTCTGTTTCTTAATTTCTCAAAAAAGAAGAGGAATATTTTTAAGACAATGGTTTTACTTAGGCAGTTAAGTTCTCATTCTTTGGAGATGAAATATTTGAGGCATCTCTTATTTTCCAAGAATACAACTTGGATGTCTTTGAGGAACAGGAGACCTACTGGGCTCCAGACACTGCTGGTGTGTTTAGAACTAAGCCGGGGGAAATATTCTGCTCTTCGTACCCATTGTCTGGGGCTTTGCCGGCTGACATAAATCTGCACGCTATGCTGAAACAGAGGGGCACAAAGTCCGTATAGATAGTCTGTATTAACTTGTTGGGGCTTTACCACAAGCGGGGTAACCTAAAGCAACAAAAATGTGTTGCCTTCCAGCTCTGGAGTCTTGAAATCCAAAATCAATATGTTGGTGAGGATGGTCCTTTTAGCCAGTAGTGAGGAAAAAGTCTTCCCCAGGCCTCTTCCCTAACTTCTGGATGCTTTCTGGAATTCTCTGATGTTCTTGGTTTATGAGTACAACACTCTGGTTCCCATCATCTTCACCTGGCACCCCCTGAATGCATGCCTGAGTCTGTCTTTTCCCTTTTTGTGATGACATCAGTTTTATTGGATCAAGAGCTCCAGTATGAACTCATCCCATTCGACCAATTCTCTGTGCCAATCACCTGTTTTCAGACCAGGTCATTTTCTGAGAAACTGGGGGTTCAGACTTCAGTGCGCAGATTGCATGGGGGAAGGGATGAAGGTTAGTGCATTACAGAGTGAACATGTTTAAGCCTGTTCAGAGGGAGTTGCCTGGACACAACTGAGGACTGGGTGGCGGGGAGGAGGGTGACATAGTTTGAAAAGCAAAGAAATCTCATCATGGTCGGATGATCACTGGGCTGGAGTCAGAGAGAGGACATGCGTTCAAGTTCTGAGACACCATCAGTTTGTTGATGTTAGCGGTGGTTCTCAGCCCTCCTAATGCTGTGACCCTTTAATACAGTTCCTCATATCGTGGTGATGACCCCAACCTTAAAATTATTTCATTGCTACTTCATAACTGTAATTTTGTTTCTGTTACAAATCATAATGCAAATATCTAATGTGCAGGATAGCTGATATGTGACCCCCGTGAAAGGGTCATTCAGCCCTGGGGGCCATGACTCATGTTGAGAACCACTGTCTTAGAGCCAGCTGTTTATCTGTAAATGATGTAACCGAGCCCGGGACCACCCAACTCCGTGTCAAATGTTTGCAGGGTGTTAGTACTGTTTCTCACCAAACCATTTGTTCCTTTCTCAGGAGGAACATTAGTAGGTCAGAGAGAAACATTAGTAGGTCATTGCTCATCCCTGGTGCCGCCATATGCTGTTTCTGACACATGTTGGAAGGAAGACCAAATAGGCTTCTGAGTACCCATCCAGGAGCTCTCTCCCCAACTACTGACGTTCTCAACTGATTGGGCAAGGTTCAAGATGCCCAACATGACCGCAGTTACAAGGAAGTCACGGTCTGGACTGGATGTTTCCAGTCTCCTGGCATCGTGTTCAAAGAATTTAGGAAGCACATATAGGAAGCAAAGTGGCAAAAAAAAAAATTTGTTCAGAAGCAATGTGAGCAAACAGAGCAAACTCTCTACAAAAGAACAGACAGCTCCTTGAGTCAAAACACTGAACGGTGTCTGGTTAATGCCTTGGGCATCTGGGATTCCTCTTGTGGGGTCTATGACAAGGAGGAGTTGGTTGCTAAAGGGTGTTCTGTGGGTGATTTAGCTTTAATTGAGTGGGAATGCGGCCTTCTCTTTGAAAAGATTTATTATTTTTTAATTTTCTGCAGTATGAATGTGTGTGTGTGTTCGAATATACACACACATGAATGCAAGCACCCACATAGTCTAGAAATTAAGTCAGTCTCCCTAGAGCAACAGCTACAGCGGGCTATGCTCTTTGTGGATTCCGGGAACTGAACTCTCAATCTCTGATCCATCACTCCAGCCCCTCATAAGCCCTTCTTTATCTGCATGTGCTGTATCATAATTTGCCTGATACTAATCATATACACACCCAGTTATGCAGGGGCACGTGATGATAAATAAGGGGTTGTCTGGAAGAGTTCACACAGAAGACATAGTTTGCCTTACTTTGCATGCACCCAAAACCGACCAGTTCAGGCTGGACCAGCCCTCTGTCTTTAACTACCAAGTGTTATGGGACATTCTTGAATGGAAAATCGCCCCAAAGGAGGGTTACCAAAATGTTGTTGAGAGGAGCAATTACACTGTTTAGAGTGGGTGTATGCATTGCTTAGTGTAGGTGGAGTCCCAGGTTGCTAAGGCCATGATTAGAAGAGGGATTGGGGATAGCTTGAGCCAAGTGAAATTCTGCTCCGTTGGGCCTTCCCTACCCTAGGCTGCCTCATCAATGCAATTATTTCATATGCCGGGCCTGCTCTAGTAGTAAAGGGAGTGTGCATCATGGGAGCACGGTCTTTCACTTCCTCATTACTTTGAGCTACAAGTTAACAAATTTTTAACGTTAAAGAAGTGGAGGTGAGCTCCCTCCTGTTCTCCATCATGGTCCAAGGTCAAGGTGAGAAAGGAGAACCGCATGCAGAAACCTCGCAACCTCAGGCTCTGCCTCAATACCTGCGTCGGGGAGAGCAGGGCAGCCAAGGGTTGGAGCAGCTCACAGGCCAGAGAAGTGCATTTCCCACTGCTAGATACCCTGTCCTGTCTTTCGGCATCGGGGGAAATGAAAAGATTGCTGCTCTCTGCACAGTCTGTGGGGCCAAGGCAGAAGAAATCCTGGAGAAAGATTTGAGGGTGTGGCAGTATAGGTTATGGGAAAATCACTTCTCAGATTCTGGAATTTTGGTTTGGGGATTCAGGAACACGGTGATATGGACCTCAGATATGACCTACATTGGGATCTCCAGCCTGGATTCCCATGCATTGCGGTTGGGTGGGTCAGGTTTCAGCATAGCAGACAAGAAGTGCAGAACAAGCCACATTGGAGCCACAGAATCAGCAAAGGGGAGGCCGTGTTCTGGTCTCAGCAGAAGTGTGATGGGGTCATTCTTCCTAGAAAATAAACCTTATTCAAAAGGTCAATAAAATTCTCCTAGGGAAAAAAAGTGGAGGTGAGAATA